AAATCATAATCATTATCATAATAATATTAGCTTTAAATAGCTATTTAACTTTGGAAAGTATTTTACATACATTATCTCATTTGAGCCTTGTAACAAGCTTGTGGTATTATTATTCCCATTTGACAGACAGGAAAACTGAGGCAGAGAGAGATAAACTGACTTACTCGAGATTCAACAGCTAATGACTAGTTTGAGAGAGTTTTAAAATTCAGATCTTCCGGACTACAAGTACTCTATCCACTACACCACCTAATTAGAAGGGATTTTAGTTCAAATTTCCCTCCCCTCTCTCCATTTTACATAGGAGAAAACTGAGACCCAGATCACACAGAAAGTAGTAGAGCCAGCATCCTTCCCAAGAGAGTGCCAATGAGAGGCTTCTTTCTTTACTCCCGCATCCTTGACTGGAAGGACAATAGGCAAAAAGTCAGTCTCACCTAGCAATACCACCTCCAGGTCTGTATCCCAAAGAGATCATAAAAATGGGAAAAGGACCCACATATACAAAAATATTTATAGCAGCTGGTTTTTTGGTGGCAAAGAATTGGAAATTGAAGGGATGCACATACATTGGGGAATGGCTGAACAAGTTGTGGTACATGAATGTAATGGAATACTATTGTGCTGGAAGAAATGATGAGCAGGCAGACTTCAGAAAAACTTGGAAAGACTTATATGGACTGATGCTGAGTGAAGTGAGCAGAACCAGGAGAACATTGTACACAGTAACAGCCACATTGTGCAATGACTAACTGGTAGACTTAGCTCTTCTCAGCAATGCAAGGATCTAAGACACCTCCAAAAGACTCATGATGGAGAATGCTAGCCACATCCAGAGAAAGAACTATGGAGTTTGAATGAAGAATGAAGCATACTATTTGCTCCTTTTTTCCCTTCTGTTTCCTCTTTCTTGTGGTTCCTCCTAATGGTTCTAATTCTTCTTTACAACAGGACTAATGTGAAAATATGTTTAATAGGAATGCAAATGTAGAGCCTATATCAGATTGCATGTCAGGGAGGGGGACAAAATTAAAAACTCAAAAGCTTGTGGAAGTGAATGTTGAAAACTAAAAATAAATTAATTTAAAAAAAAGTCAATCTCAAGTTCTGCCCCAGTAAACACATCTAGTACCTATCATGCCCTACCACTATGGAAATGCACATTAGGAAGAATGTATAGGCTAGATGGTCCTTATAGACTGTATATAAGATAGTCTTATAGGCTATATATAATCCTTATAGACTACATATAATATAATCATATATTATAATATATATTTATAATATAATGTATCATATAATAAATTACATATGATATAATGGAATAAATATAATAACATAATGTATTATATTATTTAAAAGTATTATATATTATAGATAATGTGGTATGTATAATAAATAAAATATAATATGTAATAATTATATACAACATATTATAGACTCTGTTAGCCAGAGCAGATGAGGATCATGGTAGCTAGAGTTGGAAAGTGCATTCTCTGGTTCAATCCTACCATTTTTCAGAATAAATTAAGGGGCAGAGAGGGGAAGTATCTTGCCCAGGCTCATACAAGAAGTAAATATCAGTGCTAGGATTTAAAGGCATCTTCTGACTTAAAATCTTTACCCCCTGCTTCCTTCTTGCTACCTACAAATATACCTGATTATTCTTGTATTTCAAAAATCTTGGCCTGCCCATCCCCCCAGTGATACCATCCTATAGCTCTTCCTCCTTTCAAGCCAAGCTCTAAGAAAAAGCTGTATACATACATTCCCTGCCTCCACTTTCTCACTTCTCACCCCCTCCTAGCCTGGCTTCCATCTTGCCACTCAATGGGAAACGGATTTCGCCCAGGTCACCAGTGATCTCTTTGTTGCTTAAATGTAATGGTCTTTTCTCAGTCCTGGCCTTTCTTGACCACCCTACACCATTTGACATTGCTGATCATCCCTACTGTCTCTTCATGGGTTTTTGTGACACTGCTTTGCCCTGATTCTATGTTTATCTGTCAAATTGTCACTGGGTAGTTATTTTGCATAGCTCTTGCATTTACTTATCTGTGAACATACTGTATCTTCCCTTTAGAATGTAAGCTCTCAAGGCAAGAACCAGTTCACCTTTGTATTTGTAGCCCCTGTGCTTAGCAGCTGCCTGACTGTAGTAGGTGCTTACTAAACATTCAGATTGATTGAGATTGTTCTTTCCTCGGCACTACACTGTCCACACCTTATGCTCTGGAAAGCTCTGATGTCCCTGGGGCTATGATGTCCACATCCCCTTCAGGCAGGGGCTGGATCAGCAGCGGGGTTCTTCCTCCTCCCCAACTCAAGGCAAATTTTGAGAAAGTGTAATGGTTCATTCCAACCAATGAACCAGGAAGCCCCTGGCTAGTGGGCTCTGTGCCAGGGACAGTCAGTGTGTGAGGGGACAGTAGCAGAGAGAGGGGCAGGAGAAGGGACACATATGTACAGCCTGCCTTCCAGGAATTGCACCCAAAACACATAGAGAATAAACAACTCATTTCCCTAGCACTTGAAGATTAACAAAGTGTTTTCCTCGTGATGACATGTGTCAGACAGTTCTGGCGAGGGGTTAGAGAACCGAAGACTCCTAGGCAGAGAAGGAAGGACTTCAGGTGGGCCATTTCTTTGCTGTTGTCGGTCCAGAAAGGGGGAATGCAGCCCCTGAGCCAAGAGGATATAGGGAAAGAGCTCTGTGCCCTTCAGCACATGGCTTATGGGTAGCAGGCAGAGTTTGCAGCGCAGAGAAAAAAAGCATTACTGGAAGTCCAAAGCCCTTGGTTAGATTCTCGGTGGTTACTCCTGCTATGACTGAAATAAAGCTTCCGCTCTCTGTCTCAGTTCCTCTTCTGTAAGACTCAGATGATCTCTCGCACCCTTATGGTCTGCGGGAGTCGATTAGACATGTTCTAGTCTGATGGCTTTGTTTTACAAGTGAAGAGGAAATTGAGGCTCCGAGAAGGAAATGGACTTGTCCAAAGTCATAAAACTCCTGTCTTTTAACAGCTCCCTACCCCCACTGTTCACTCTCTGGAGAAAACAAGAGACCACTACAGAGGCCAGTTTCTGCTCTGTCAGAGGAAGGTGAAGGGAGAATCATAGATGTGAAATCACCAAGGAGCACCATAACACATTTATTTTTATGTTTTTACATATTCAAGACTTACAAAGTGTCCTAGGTACATTTTCTCATCTGATCTTGCCAATTGCCCAATGAGGGAGGCAGTACATTGGGGGAAATTGAGGCTGAGAGGTGTTTCTGACTCCAAACCAAGGCTCTGCCTGTTATACTCTGCTGAAAAGAGAATTTTCAAACTTGTGTTCAGCTGACCTTAAGAGAATGGGAGCTTTGGGATCATCCCCATAGAAAGTATTATTGTTCAACATTGGGTTTGCTATGCACCAAAGGAAATGAAGGCTGGTGCTTGTCTTCATAGGAGAAAAATTACCAAGAAAGTCACATGCACAAAAATGGACATATATGTGTATGCATATGTATATAGAGATATACATGTAGATATGTGTGTATGTATATATATGAAGCATAGGATTTACACATATTAATTTATCCATATTCAGCAAGCAGTTCTGGATAATAATAGCTAGCATTTACATAGTGCTTTGAGTTTTGCATAACATTTTAAAAATATCTTGTCTGATTCTGAAAACAACCCTTTGAGGTGGGTGCTATTATTATCCTCATTATACAGTTGAAGAAACTGAGCGTTAAAGAAATTTTAAGTGACTTGTCCAGAGTCCCACAAGCAGAATTTGAATTCAGGTCTTTTGACTCCAGGTAGAGGGCACTATCCACCCACTCACACACACCTAACTGCCTCTCTATCTGTGTGTGGAGATGTTGTTGAGATATTATAAAAGTAAATGAGGTCTTTGCCTTCAAGGAATTTCCCAACATCTAACACCACTCCTCATAACAAATATGCATAGTCAAGCAAAACAAATTCCTCCATTGGTCATGTCCAAAAATGTGTCTCATTTGCCTATTTAGTCTATCACCTTCCAGGAATTGAGTAGAATGCATCATTACTGGTCTTCTGGAATAACAGTTGGTCATTCATTGTGTTGATCAGAGTTCTTAAATCTTTCAAAGTTGATCATTTTTACAGTGTTGTTGTGAAGCAAATTGTTCTCCTGGTTCTGCTCACTTTACTGTTGGTTCATAGGGTCTCCCTAGGTTTTTCTGAAACCACTCCTTGCATCATTTCTTATAGCACAACAGTATTCCATTATATTCATATGCCATAATTTATTCAACCATTCCCCAATTGATGGGCAACCTCATTCATTTCCAGTTCTTTGCCAATAAAAAAAGAGTTGTACAAATATGCAAAAAGATCATTTTCCTTTTCTCTTTTTGGGATATGAGCCTAGTAGTATAATTATTGTTGGGTCAAAGTGATATTATGACAGTTTAGTAACCTTTTGGTCATAGTTCCAAATGGTTTTCCAGAATGGCTGGACCATAGCTCTTCCAGCATTACATCCATGAGCCCATTTTCCTGCAGATCCTGCAACATTTGTCATTTCCCCCCCCCTTTTTTTTTCATCTTCAACAGTCTGACAAGCATGAGATAGAACCTCAGAGAAGTGTTTCCAATTAGGGGTCGCTTCCCTTTCCTGTCTATCTAGAATGTAAGCTCCTTGAAGGTAGGAACTTTCTTTTTGTATCCCAGGTGCTTAGCGGAGTACATGGCACATAGTAGGTGCTTAATAAATGTTTATTGATTGATCAATCTTTTGGGACATAAGTACTTTTGATACAGGTTAAGGGGACCCAGATAACTGTCCACCACACTGTTGTTGGTTTTTTCCCTTTCTCACTTCAACCAAGGGATAATGGGAAGGAGACAGGAGCAAGAAGAGAAAGGTGTGAGATGCCTAAGGCCAGGGCTAGAGAAGCAGAGTTAGCTTCTTAGGCATGGGTCATCCCCAGAGAAAGCTGAGACTCATCTCCCTGGCAGGTGCTCTCTTTCATCATCTTTATCTGCTACATCGCATCCACGGCGGCTCCCTTCCTGACTGTGCCCCTCTTGATGTTTCTGCTGGCCCTCTGTTTCCTCTTTGGCTACTTCATGAAGATCAATGAGAAATTCCCTGGGATGTGCTGGCCTCTCTCGGTAAGCAAGCTGTGGCATCAGGGTGGGCAGGGAGGGAGGAAAGACAAGACTAATTTTGTTTTATGGGACATTGGATGGCTGAAAGATTAGAGCTGGGAGGGAACTTACAAGATTGTCTAGTCCAAACCCCTTATTTTACAGATAAGGAAACTGAGGCCCAGTGAGGAGCAGTAACTTTCTCAAGGCCATAAAGCTAGTAAGTAGTAGAGCTAGAATTCAAGCTCAGGTATTCTGACTCCAAATCCATCCCCCATGCCTAATGCTCCTCCTCTTCAACTCTGCCTCTTAGCTTCCTTCAAGACTCACCTTACATCCCACCTCAAGCAGGAGGCCTTTCCTGCTTCCCCCAGCCAGCAGCGCCTTCCCCTCTGAGGCTGCTTTCTATCCTCCCTCTATATACTTTTTATGGACCTAGTCATTTACATTCTATCTCACCCAAGTAAAATGTAAGCTCCTTGAGGGCAGGGTCTGTTTTTGCCTTTCTTTGTATTCCCAAGATTTGGCACATTGTCTGACATATAGTAAACACTTAATAAATGCTTGTGGAATTGACTATACCACGCAGTCTCTGAGACTACACGTCTGATCTTGCTCAAATGGAGTGGCTTCTGTTTGATGAGAGTGAAAAAGCAGAATTCAGGGGGCTTTATTCACTCTTAACAAGAATGGGGGGGGGACCATGTTGCAAGGGAGTGCTCACTGACATACTGAGTACCTACCTAGCTGAGCCCATCAACACAGACATCCCAGGGAAGATGTTCCTGGAAGTATGGCCGATCAAATCCAAATACCTAGCATTAAAATGACTGGTCAATGGAATGATTGCTCTCACAATCTTAATGGACTGTATGCTTTCTGAGGGCAAGGACCATTTCTTATATCTTGTGCGTGGTTTATCTTTCATTCTGGAAGAGGACCATGGCATCAGGAAGATGATTACATGACTCACAATTGAATTTGATTTGAGGGAGAGAGGGCTGTGCAAAGTCACCAGCCTCACTCTCTCCTGGTGACATTTCTTATCTAGACTTTGCATCACCTAAAGTTTTTTCCATTGAGTTCACTAGTGTAATACTGACACCACCTACTTAACAGAGTTTTAAAGAAAGCCTTTTATACATGTTAAAAGCACCAAATCAATCAACAAGCATTGTACTGAACATCTTATATGCCAGACACTGTGCTTGGTGCTGAGAATATAGAGAAAAATGAAACCATTCCTGCCATCTAGGGGTTTACGGTCCAGCTAGGAGAGGCAACATGTACCTATATAAGTAGATAAAAAATAAACCCAAGGTAATGGGGGTACGGGGAGTGGCGCTCAGTAGCACAGTGGTTCTCAATTGAGTATGCTCTGAATTACAGGGAATCTACCACTTGTAATGACATGCATGTGCCCGAGCCTCTCCCAAATGTAATGTGCTAGGATTCTTCACATCCAAGAACAATCCTGTGCCATGAGCAGAAAACTTTTGAAAGCCATTCCTCTAGAAGCTGGAGTAAGTAGGGAAGACCTCATGGAGGTGATGGCACCTGATCTGAGGCTTGAAGGAAACTTGGGGTTTTTAGGAGGCAGAGGTGAGGGGGAAATGTGTTCTGGGTTTGGCTCACCAAGTATGCACAGGTGTGGAGATGGGAGATAGAGAGTTAGGTGTGAGGAATACTGTAAGAATACAGTGACTAAAAAGGAATGATGTATGAGAAGCCTAGAAAGGCAAGATGGAGCCAGATTGTGAAGGGAATACAAGGATTACAATTATATTTATGCTTCCATTTTAATTTATTTGTAATTTGAGAGTCAAATAAGATGCAAAATATTTCATAATCATAAATCACTTTATGAACTCTACCTTGATTTTCTCCATTACCCCTCTGCATTTAAACATTTGCCTTAGAAATGAATTAAAGAAAAAAGCAATCACCAGACTGGTCTAACATGGAACACATGATCCAGCGGTAGAGCAGAGCCCAGGGACCCCAAGGAGGGCTGACTGAGCTTATATAAAGTGGGTCTTTCTTCCCTAGTTACTGAACCAAGAAATTTGAAGACCGTGTTTGTTTTGTATTGACCTGTATTGACCACCAAGTGTCGCTGTTGTTCTAAACTGATCTACATCTAATTAAGGAATTATGTAGTTAAAGGAATTTGAGGATTTTCAAAAAGTTCTATATACACACATATGTATATGTGTGTATATATATACACATACACACATACATATATGTATATGTGTGTGTGTATATATACACACACATACACACATGCACATATGTGTATATATATATATATATATAACTACGTTTCTATGTATAACTAACATGAATGGTATATATGTATATGTACATTATACATGTATGTATAACTACATATATTTATACTAACATTCATATATATGTATATGTGTGTATATATGTATGTGTATGTCTGTGTTAGTGAGTGTGTGTGTGTGTGTCTCATTGCCTCCTGAAGGCAAGAGAGAATTGTGACTATGAGTCTGGTGATGACTCATGGAAAAGAGGTTTGAAACCATAACATGTCATCTCTTCTTTCTCCAATACTAGTCCCTAAGTCCACACTGGCCTGAGATACCCAGGTTCTAGTCTCAGATTTTGACTAACTCCACTAATCCTCCCCTGCCCCCTGGTCTGAGCAAGAATAACTCACATTTTTATAGCCCATCATTCAAGTGTACAAGGCACTAGATCCCCAATATGCTTAAGAGTATCTGAAGAAGGGCTACTGGGATGGTGGAGGACCTAGAGTCCAGGTCATGTAAGAAACATCTAGTTAAAGGAAATGAGGGCATCTAGCCTATAGAAGATAAGATTCAGGGGGCACATGATAGCTATCTACATGTATCTGAAGGGCTTTTGCATACAAGAGGGATTTGTTCTGTTTGGGCTCCAAAGGGCAGAACCAGGAGTTATAGGTGGAAGTTAAAAAAAAGTCAGATTTAGACTTGATATAGGAAAAACTTCCTCGCTATTAAAGGTATCTAAAAGTGCAATTGGCTGCCATGGGAGGTAGTGAACTCCCCATAGTTGGTGATCTTCAAGCAATGGCTGGATGATCACTTCTATGTTATAGCGGGGATTTCTTTTTCAGATACAAGCAAGATGGCTACCAAGGTCTCTTTCAATTCTAAATTTCTATAGTTCTCTGAGGTAGCATTGTTAGCTCCATTTGATAGATAAGAAACAATAACCAAAAAAAAACCCTGAGACCTGGGAGTAGGGACCTGCCCAACAAGTAAATGCCAGAACCAATACCAAAACCCGGTGCTGTCTTCCCATTTGTCTAAGAGAGAGCCAGATGCTGAAGCCTGAACTTGGCCTCAGCCTGCCTTCCCTCCCTAGGGTGAATGGTTGGCTTATATTTCATAAAGTATCTTGGGGTTTGGGGGCTAGATTTTTTTCTTCCCTACTTATTTATTCTATCAGTTGTTTCTTTCAAACTGGGACAATTAACTCTTCTGTCTCATGTAGTTTTTTATTTATGATTTCTTGAAATATAGGTCTGAAAAACAGGTTTTGAGAAAGCCCATTTGGATTCAAATGAAGCTACTTGACCACATCTTTAAACCAGCATCACTCTGCCTCTCACTGATTGGCCAATAATAGGTCCCAACCCAAGCCTCACTTGCTCATTGTTTGGGTTTTGATGGCTGAGAGTAAGTGTAAATATCAATTTTCTGTTTCTGTTCTGCCCAGAAACTCTGAGGGTCTTTCCCTCCCTGATTAATTCTTTTGTGAAGGCAAAGTAGGCCATCTTTTACCTCAGTTCTTACCTAGCCTTTACCTACTCAACGAGTGTTGCCTCAGACAAACTAAGACCGGGGAAAGACCTAAGCTTAAAAAGGCCAAAGTCTCCCACTGCACCCCAGGCCATCTCCAGTCGTCCTGATTTATATGTTGCCACTGGACCCCCATGACCCTGGAGTAGAGAGTGGGGCTGATGACTCTGCACAGCTCTGCCTCACTTACATCCAATTCCCTTGCAAGTCAAGACATCACCCTTGTGATGTCATTGGGCCTCTTCTAGAATGAAGGAGTAACAATAAATAACAACCATGAACTATCGGTAAGGCTACACCTTGGAGCAGGCCCAGCTACAGAAAAGGCATTAAGAGACAGTGAGACCCAGTCATAACTAAGAATAAAAGAATTAGAAATCAAATTCAAGTTCCCTTGGAAGAAAAACAAGACAAATTCTGAAAGATTATTTTCCATGGCCTTTAAATCACAACATATCTCCCCTGTCCCAAAATGAGGCTATTTATCTCCAACCAGGTCTGTGCTGGTTCCTGAAATTCCCACTTAACCTCTCCTGTGTTGTTAAATGCATTGGCCCTTAAAGGTTCTTGGGACCAGGGTTCTAGTCTCAGCTCTCCTGGAGGAGTAGCCCTGTGACCCTGGGAATGTCACATACATTATCAAATGTAAATGTACATAAAAGGTCTTTGTAACCATTAGTCTTTGTAACCATTAGTTGACCGTATAGATGTGGTTTGTTCTAGTTGTCATTATTACCTTGTGGAAGAAAACCCCATCAGCACATCAGCAGAAACGTATGTATGAGTTCACTAACAGTAAGCAGGCCTCTAAAGGAAATAGAGAAGGGGCAGGTACATTTTAATGGGAGGCAGGGGGAGAAAAGTCCCAAGTTAAGGAGATCATTAATGGGAAAATCTCTGTCACCTTAGAGGGCTAGACTAGATGATTTCTTAAAGTCTCTTTAAGCTCTAATATTCCATGTCCTAAGGGCCTTTGAAGCTCTAACTGAACATTCTCTAAGGTTCCTTTCACCTCTAATGCTGTGAAATGTGGAGGGGAGGCCTTCCCAAGAAAGACCTCAGCAACCCACCAGGATCTTCCAGCCCAGTTGACTGCCCATTCACTGGCCCCCAGCTCAGGTCTGACCATGGCCTTCCCAAGCCACACAGTGCTGGCAGCTAGAATCCAATCTCCTGAAACTGGATGTAGAAGAGGAAGCTGCCACCTACTCCTCAGAATGCTTTATCCAATTCTCTGCAATTGCGCTCTCTTCCAGGACTTCCTTCGATGTGTCACGGCCGCCATCATCTACTTTGCCATCTCCATCACTGCTGTCTCCAAATATTCAGATGGGGCCGCCAAAGCAGCTGGAGTAAGTAGTTAATAGCCAGGCTTTGGGGTGAGAAACTGTGAGGTTCCCTCTTGTGTGCTTCCATTTCTCTATGGCATCAAGCTAGGAGTCAGGAGACCAGAGTTTGAGTTCTGGCTCTGCTGCTTACTAGCTGAGTGACCCTGTGTGAGTCACTTCCCCACTCCGGGTCCTTCTCTGTAGAACAGGGACATAACTATACTTAGACTACCTCACAGGATTTGAGGATCAAAGGAAATGACACAGGTTAAGCCTTATACGCAACGGTGAGCTTTTATCATCACCATTATTTAAGGTCCTTTCAAGTTATAACATTTTATGATTGTTCAGCTGATTGAGGGGGCATAAAGACACCTCTGTGTTTGCCCAGTTACCCTCTTAATCTTAGTATGTTACATTAACAGTCAGCATAGACATCTCTGTTTTTCCATTTACCTTCTGAATCCTAGTGGCTTACAGTTAACAATATGTATGCACCTTAGAGATGTGTATGTTTCAGCTCCCATTAGATTATAAACATACTGAGGGGAAGAACTGTCCCTTTAGCCTTCCAGCATAATGCCTTGCACACAAGGCATTCAGTTTGACTTGCTGAACACCAAATTCAATCATCTGAAGGCAAATCTGTCAATACTTCCATAGACCCATGATTTCATTAGTGTAGGTGTTCCCTGCACTAACACAGATCAAATCTTTTTATGTCCTAATGAAATAGTCAAAAAAGAAAACCAACCCAAAACCATCATCCCTGGTGGCCCACCATCTGGTAATGAGCTTCACTGCACTAATCTAGGCTGGTCCTTGGATGACAATTTGTCTCTAGGTTTCTACATGAAGGCTTTCCATTATGATACAACCTTCCAGAACTTGAGGTCTACTGGCACAATGACACGCCAGAGTACTGGGGATATTTACAAAGTATTTCAGAGATGAGTGTGCATTATAGGAAATGCAATGTAGGCTGTAAAAACTTGGGTGTTATCCCCCTAGGGAATTTAACAGGGATTGATGGGAGGTGGGGGTGGGGTAAAATACCAACTTCAACAATAAAACAAAGGGCTCCACTAGTAATACAGCCAAGAAATGATTAAGACATGGTCCTCCTAGCCTTCTAGAAATAGAGTCTAGTTGGATGAATAAGGCAAGAATGTAGTGGGGCAGTTCAAGATTTCTATGTCTGTCCAGTAGTTTAGCTGTTTATGAGTCGCAAGAGGAAGCAATCATAGCAGTTAAGGGTAGACAGAATGTTTGACGGACAAGAGACTTGTCCTGGGTTTTTAAGTAAGGGTAGGATCTGGCTAGGCTGAGTGGAGAGCAGTGAGGTGGGCATTCCAGGGCAAGAGAATGATGTGAGCAGAAGCACAGACTGACTCACAAATACGCAAGGTGGATTTGGGACTGGGGAAGGGTCTATGGCCCAGTGAACACACCAGAGCTCTTTCCTTCTCCCTGCCCAGCCTCTCCTTTGCTGGATCTTCATCCAAGTCATACTCAGTGATACTCTGTATCCCCCAAGGCTCTATCCTGGGCCCTCTCCTTTTCTATCTCTATACTATTTCATTTGTAATCTCATCAGCTCCCATGGTTTCAGTTATCACTCCATGCAGATGACTCTCAGATTACTTATCCAGCCCTCTCCCAACTTCCAGTCTCGAATCTCCACCTACCAATGGGACATCTCAAACTGGCTGTCTCATAGTCACCTTATACTCAACACATCCAAAATTGAACTCATCTTTCTCCCTAAGCCCTCCCGTCTTCTAACTTCACTGTTACTGTTTTTTAAATTTCATTTTTAATTTTAATTTTCAGTTCCAAATTCCCTTCCTCCCTCCATTTCTTACTCTACCCATTGAGAAGGCAAGAAATATGATACTCATACTCTTTATATATACGAAGGCATGTGAAACATTTCCACAATAGCCATGTGGAAGGATGGAAAGCAGGAAGGAAGGAAGGAAGGAAGGAAGGAAGGAAGGAAGGAAGGAAGGAAGGAAGGAAGGAAGGAAGGAAGGAAGGAAGGAAGGAAGGGAGGGAGGGAGGGAGGGAGGGAGGGAGGGAGGGAGGGAGGGAGGAAGGAGGGAAGGAAGGAAGGAAGAAGGAAGGAAGGAAGGAAGAAGAAGGAAAGGAAGGAAGGAAGGAAGGGAGAAGGAGGAAGGAAGGAAGGGGGAGGAGAAGGAAGGGAGGAAGGAAGGAAGGGAGGAGGAAGGAAGGAAGGAAGGAAGGAAGGAAGGAAGGAAGGAAGGAAGGAAGGAAGGGGAGGAAGGGGAGGAAGGAAGGAAGGGGGAGGAAGGAAGGAAGGGGAGGAAGGAAGGAAGGGAGGAAGGAAGGAAGGAAGAGAAGGGAGGAAGGAGGAAGGAGGAAGGGAGGAAGGGAGGGAGGAAGGGAGGAAGGGAGGGAGGAAGGGAGGAAGGGAGGAAGGGAGGAAGGAAGGAAGGGAGGAAGGAAGGAAGGGAGGAAGGAAGGAAGGAAGGAAGGGAGGGAGGAAGGGAGGGAAAGAAGCAAAAAAAATTAAAGAAGAAAAAAATATGCCTCAACCTGCACTCAGAGTCCATCAGTCCTCTATCTGGAAAGGATATTTCTGGGTCAGAGGACATGCACAGTTTTCCCTGTTACTGCTGAGGGCACTACCATGCTCCCAGTCACTATGCCTCACGACATAGACGTCATCCTCATCTCCTCACTCTCACCCCCACCCCCATACCCAATCAGTTATCCAGTCCTGTTCTTGCTACCCATGTAACATCTCTCCTATACATCTCTTACTTCCTGACGCTGCCCTACCTTGACAGAGGCCCTCATTGCCTCATAGCTGTACGGTTGGAGCAGCCTGCTAGCTGATCAGTCAAACAATCCTCTGCTTAGCTGTCAAAATGATCTTTCTTAAGGGCAGGTCAGGCCAATGTCACTCCCCTATTCAGTGGTCTCCAGTGGCTCCCTATTACCTCCAGGATCAAAAATAAAATCTTTTATTTGGCATTCAAAGCCTTTCATAAGCTGGCCCCTTCCTACTTTTCCAGTCTTCTGATGCCACATACTCTGCAATCCAAAGACACTGAGCTACTCTTTTCCGTTTCTCAAAAAAGATAATCCTCTCCTGACTGATCATTTTCATAAGCTGTCTCCTGTGCCTGGAACACTTGCTTTCCCTCCTCATCACCATTTCCTAGCTTCTGTGGCTTCCTTCAAGTCCTAGCTAAAGACTCACCATCGGCAAGAAACCCATCCCAGTCTCCTTAATCTTAGTGCCTTCCCTCTGAGAATATCTCCACTTTATCCTGTGTGCGTCTTATTTGTATGTACTTGCTTACGTGCTGTCTCCCCCACTAGACTTCGAGCTCCTCGAGACCAAGGACTTGTGTTTGGGTGGTCTTGGTTTTGGGGTTCTGTTTCTTTTGGCCTTTCTCTGTATCCTGAGCTCTCGCCATAATACCTGGCACATAGCAGGCACTTAAGAAATGCTGACTGACCATACCACCCTATGTGGCCCCCTTACCCTTGCCACAGGTGATCTTGCTAAACGTAGTTGTGGTCCTGACCAGGGCCAGCCCTAGACAGAACAAGAAGTTTATCAGCGTATTTGGGCCTAGAACCCTGACATGGGCCTAGTTTTGTGATCCCTGTTGTTGTGTCCTATAGGTCTTTGGCTTCATCGCCACAATCGTGTACGCCTTTGACTTCTATGTCATCTTCAATGATCTGTCCAAATTTCTCAAACAAGGAAATTCTGCCAATGACACAGAAGCTGAAAAATCAGAAGGTAGGTGAATGTGTCCGTTTCATGACCCCAAAGAACTCTCCTAACGTACATCATTGAACAATACTTGCGAGTTCTTTGACTAAAAGCCCACACCTCCATCAGAGATGGGTGAATCTGTGCTCCCCCATCTTCACCTTAGAGGGAGCATGGGAGGAGTAAAGAAGGTTAAATATCCATTTGGAGTGTGAGTGTGTGTGTGTGTGTGTGTGTGTGTGTGCGTGCGCACGCACATGTGCACATGCACATGTGCACACGTGACACATATATACAGGAAAAGAATTTTTAAGCAATTATGCTAAAAAATAAGATGTAGCTAACTCCCCAGATTAGCTGACTTTTGGTATTCTTTTGTCCCCCCCTTCTGTGATCTCTTTTGATATTTTGTAAAATCAGAGCACATTAGAAATAGCTTCAGAAGACAAAACTGTGCTGAAAGGCCAGGAGATCTGGCAAAATGGAAACACTGTGGGACTCGTGTCTTCAACAGAGCATCTTGGTTTGAGTCTCTAGGTGGCGGCTCATGAGCTATGTGACCTTGGACAAGTCACAACTTCTCAGGGTGTCAAATTGTTCACTTACAAAACATGGAAGTTGTACCAGATGATTCCCAAGGCCCCTCCAATACTAACATTCTAGGATTATGACCTCAGAATAGGTTAGGGCAGAGAACACAGCACTCAACCAGAAGGGATATAAGCATATAGTATAGAAAGCTGGAACATACAAAATTAAAGAGAGAAAAGATTTCAGGAATCTTTTAGTCCAACCCCCTTATTTTATAGATGAGGGAACTAAGGTTTGGAAAGAGGAAACGTCTTACCCAAGGTCATAATGAATCACAAAAGTACTGGATCTCAGACTTGAAAGAAAACTTTCCAAAGGGATTGAATCCAACCCATACTTGACTTGAAATCCTCCTAAAATATCTGTGAAAAGTGGTTATCCAAAAGAAAGCAAAACAGGGGTTATCTGGTCTCTACCAGAGACCTCCACTGAGGGAGAACCCAACCCACTGCCACCCCAAGCAGCCCATTTCACTTTTGGATGCTCTTCTTTGGAAGTTTTTCCTTATAGCAGGTTAAACGATGCCTCTCTGAAACTTTTACCCATCAGAAAGGTGGATAGAACGCTGGACCCAGAGTCAGGAAGACCTGAGTTCAAATACGTCCTTACTAGCTGCAATATGAGGATAATTATAGCACGTACCTTCCAATGTTGCAGTCAGGAGAAAATGAGATCCTATTTATAAAGCACTTTGGAAACTTTAAAGTGCCATATAAATGCTGGCTATTATATTGTGCCTCTTCTTCCTAAAAATGTTATCTGAATGGGGCTAAGGATAATAGCAGCAGAGCTAGTATTAGAAACCATGTCTTCTGACTTCCTGCTCAGAGGTCTTTCTGGAACCACGCCATGCTGTCCCTCCCTAGGCAGAACTTTAGTTCCCAGCAGCTCAGAATCCTAGCCTGCCTACAGGAAACACACAGAATCTGACAGGCAAGAAACAGAGCTAGAAAAGACCTGAGGCTAAGAATGGTCAGTGTTGAACCAGGTCAGACACCAGCAACTCCAGAACAGTCAGGGGAGGGTGTTTATGGTTACTCTAAGTAGCTCTCCCCAGCCTTGCCGTGCTTTGAAGCTGCTGACCTGTCAATATCTAAAGAACAATCTGTTTCTGAAGTCTTTCCCTTCCATTTCAGAGGAAGACTCCAATTCTGATTCTGATTGATGACCAGCTATCTTGGACGACACTACTGCACAGACCACCAAGGGAATCTCAGGGGGCGCTCTAATTTTCCAGCCTCCAAGTACACTGCCAGCTGAGAATGGGGCTTTTCCTTCTTATGTTGGACTTTGCCTCTCATTCCTCCTATGTTACTGTTTCCCGAGGGGCTGTGGCTGTGGAGAACAACGCAACTCTCAACTCTCTCCCTTCCACTCTATCCTCCAAACAGACTGTGATAAGTTGTTGCGGTCTGCAGTTTGCTCACCTTTCCCGTGTCTAAGTGCCTTTTCAGTATCTGGTTTCCTTGCCATCTTTGTCAAGAAGAGCTAATTCTACAATCTTGAATTTTAGTCTTATAATAATGGAGAACTCACTTAACACAAATGTCTCTCCCAAACCATTGAGCCATTTAGACTTCTGTGTCTGAGGTGAATACAAGGCAGTGGAGGCCTTAAGTCTATACCTGCATCCAAGTCCCACACTGCCATGTAGAGTCTTGCTACCTCGGTTTTTACCAAGCATTTTATATGACATGTGATAGTGAGTATCTATTGGGGAAGAGGTATATTTGTACCCCTTGTGGCTTGACTGCCCCCAGGAATCCTCACTGTAACACATGCAACCTTGCTTATCAAAAGATTAATATCCATTTGCCAAGGAGAGTTCCATTTTCTGCCATTAAAAAAACTCTACCTCCTACTGTCTCTTTATGAGACAGAAGAGGAAAACTGGGGCTGGGAGACTCCAGATCACCCAGGGAGTCACATTTCTTAAAAAGATGATTTTTGTGGCTTAGGTGACCACCTGCCTTTGAGACATACTTGCTCAATGACAAGGACAAAATGATTAACTTTTCAACGCCTCCAAGTAACTCTAAGACTATACTTTGCTGATATGCTGTTGATCTGCATCAGTGGACAGTTTCCACAGAGTGAGAGGCCTATGTTAATTAAGTCACAGGTTTGTGCTTCACTTTGACATAGCAATCAATAACCATTTATGAGGCACCTACTGTACTACATATATAGACCTCTTCTTCTCACTCTCTTCTTCTCTCTCTCCATGAGCATGTGCATGTGCATATACATCACACACACACACACACACACACACACACGTGCTAACAAGCACACCAGGCCTTGAAGCAATACCCACTTGAGGCATTTGACATTTTGAATAACAGTGGTCTTTCTGAGAATCTGTTATTAGACAGTTCTTCTTTTCTTCATGTTCTTGGTACACAAAGACAATTCTGACATCTTTCATTTCAGACAGTGGATACTCATCACTCCATCAGGACCTGCACAAACACATCTAATTCCAGGTGCGAGGGTAGCTAGGATGTAGTTCTAATAGACTAGCCTAAGGAAGTGAGCTGTCGTCCTTCAATAGAAAAGGACACCATCCCAGCCCTGTTCAAAACAGACTACATAAATATCAAAGATTTATCAGAGTTGGAAGGGACCTCAGAGACAAGGTGATGAGTAAATATATCAGCGGTTTGCATTCCTTTAAGACTATAAGGCCTTCCTCACAAGAGCCCAGTGAATGAGGTGGTACAAGTATATATTATCCCCATTTGACAAATAAAGAAACTGAAACTCAGGGGAAAGAAAACCGGCAGCAGAATCACAAGATGGCTGTTGGTAGCCAAACCCTTGTTCCAAATAGGTGCCTGCTGGCAGGCTAGGGGCACTCGGGGCATAGCAGACCAAAGGATTGTGGAAACTATAACATAACTAATGACTTTTTCCAGGGATTAGAAGGCCCATTTTTAATTATTTCAGGAAACTGTGATATTGTATGTATTTCTCTCTCTCTATTATCATCTTTCAAAACATTTTTATATAAAATTTAAGCCTAAAAGCTTTCAATATACAAAAGCAACATTACCTAAGTAAATGGCATTTGCTATGACTTGAGAACTAATATGACTGTTTAAGTGCCTTTGATTTGTAAAGTTTTTCACTTGTTAATATACTGCATGTCAATCTGCCATCCATGAAAAGTCATGATGGATTAAACCATAGTGATTACTTGGTTGTGCCTGTGTGTATACATGTACAACTATATATACACATATATAATGTGTATATGTGTGTTTATGTATACAGAGATATATGAATGTTCCTTCTCCCTCTTTGAAAATCAAGTGTATTCTCTTTACTCTCCAGGGACAAATCTCATCTGAGCCTGGTAGTGGATTCTGGAGTAACAGCTAACCACACAAACTTGTTTTTCAGCTTTTCCAAGTTTCTGGATAGCCCACATTTTAGCCAATTACATAAAAAAGTCTATAATTCATATTTGCTGAAGAATATGCTTCATATAATGGCATCCAGATTAGTCCTGTTCCAAGGAGCATAACCTCTATCCTGTGTGTGATACATAGCTTCCTGCCTTAGCCCTTTGGACTGGTACCAATGGTTCATCATTATGAAATATTAGGATAGAGTGCTAGAAAGGACTTCAAATCACACATAGGCTGTACTAAGGCAGTAGCTGCTGGTAGAACTTCCTGCCACAAGTCTCTCCCCACTCCAATCCATCTTTCACTCTTGTCAAAGCAATCTTCCTAAAACACAGATCTGACCATATCAACCCTGCCCCTTGCCCCTACCTCTATTTAATAAATTCTATCATCTCCCTCCAGTGTCCAGGACCAATATACAAATCTCTGGTTTGGTGTTCAAAATTGGCCCCTTCCTGCCTTTCCAGTGTCCTTGCACTTACTCCCCTCCACATACTTTGTGAGATCCAGTGACACTAGCCTCCTGGCTGTTCCTTGGATAAGATCCTCCACCTCCTGACTCCGGGCATTCTTATTGGCTGTGATCCATGCCTAGAACTCTCTCCTTCCTCATTTCTGCCTCCTAGCTTTCCTGGTTTCCTTCAGGCCTCAGCTAAAGTCCCGTCTTCAGTAAGTTCCCTTTCCCAGGCCTCCTTCATCTTAGTGTCTTCTACCCCCAATTTATCCTGCATCTAATTTATGTCTAATTCTTTGCATCTTGTCTCTCCCATTAGACTCTGAGTTCCTTGAGAGCAGGGACTATTCCCCTACATCCCTAACACTTAGCACATTGGCTGGCACTTAAGAGGTACTTAATAAACGTTAGTTATCACACTACTCTGACAACTGACATTCTAAAGCTTACAAATCAATTTCCACTCATCAGCCCACCTGATACTATGTCAATTAATAAATAAATGACTCAGAATCTCATATCTCAGGGCTCCTCACAGTTCTGATTCCTCAGCTACACTTGCAGTCATATTTACCACATGCTACTGGTTTTTGCACCATTAATCAATGCCATCACCATAAACCAAGAGCCATGACCACCATATCCTTTGTAGTGTCTAATAAGGTATTCCAAAAGAGAAATTAAAAATGTGTTTGTAACAAGAGCCTCATGTGATCTGTGAACCACAGTGAGTACTTAAGGCTTTAACCAATATGGGTTAGTTGAGACCTCAAAACAATTTTACTACCTGCAATATGTGTCTTCAGAATTACAGAATCTCTGAAATAGCCCTAGAAATCCATGTAGCCCAACTCCCCCACTGTTCACAGAGAGAGAAAGTGAAGGCCAGAATTCAGACTCAGGGGGCAGCTAGATGGCGCAGTGGATAGAGCACTGGCCCTGGAGTCAGAAGGACCTGAGTTCAAATCCAGTCTCAGATTTGACAATTACTAGTTGTGTGACCCTGAGCAAGTCACTTAACCTCAACTGCCTCACTTAAAAAAAAAAAAGAATTCAGACTCAGATTTTCTGATTGCTAGTACAGTGCTCCACATCAGGCAATTGTGTTGTCCCAAGAAACTAAAAGGTTTCTTTTGGCTGCCACCTGAAATAAGTGCATCTATATGTTTCAACTTGCCTGGTTTTTTCCTGAAGGAAGGTGTCAGTTTAGTTAACAGCCACAGCAGGCATGCATGGTACCCTTTTTCCTCTTTCTGTGTTCTAGATAAGTTACTTTTCCAAGCATCAAACAGCCTTTCAGTTTCAGGAAATGGACTTGCACCCTTTAAGTAGGTGCAGGGCAGATTAAAAAGAGAGAAAAACACATTAGTTTGTTTAACCACATCCATTTATTCAACAAGAAATCCTTCACAACAATTTCATACAATATTTATCAGAGATTAGTGTTGAGAAAATTATCTCCCCCTACATACAAAAATACAGATTTTACCACTATGAAAACGATCAAGACAAGGACCATGAAAACTTGTGAAGTTCGGCATCTTGGTGTATCAAAGGGAAGAGAGTAAAAATGTGGGTGGGGAGAGCAAAAAAAAAATCAGTGAACATAATACTTCATTTGAAATCAGAAAATGACCAAAAAAACCCCCTTCATATTACGCCCTTTTAAAAAATACATAACAAGCAAAATATGTCATTTTTATTTTAGAATGTCACATACTTAAAATAATCAGAATCAAAAGTAAATTTGAATTCACTTTTTATAATACCATTATGAAATTACAATCCTTCAACTTCAGCTATAAAAGCAGGAAAAAAAATACAACCTACAAAAGGTTACACTCAGAAAATCAAGTTCATAAAATGAGTACTGTCTTGGAAATGTAGGATGCTTGTACCTTTAAACTGTTCAGAGAGAGAATCAAAGAAATATATCACTTAGAGAAAATAGAAACTACATCAAGGTTAATTTTGATCCAGTTAATAGTATTTCTAGAGGAAAAAAAATATCACCGGCTTAAACCTGGGTAAGTAGCTGTTGGAAAACTATGATAATTCATCTGCCATTTGACTTGACACTTCACCTACTGTAAAATACCTACAACTGACTTTGACCCTTCCCTTTCTCATTTCCCTCCAAAAGAGAAAAAAAAAGAGAGATTTGAGAAAAGAAACATTAAAAAAATTGTTTCTAAAATACACTTTTGATGTTTCTGGAATTGTTTTGCAATGGCTTGGCCATAACATTAAGATTTTTCCTTGGCCAGACATGTCAATGACCCCACAGAAAAGAGGAAAAAAGGATTCTGCAGAAATTCATCTCCTCTTTAGAAGACACAATAACCAAGCAATTTATTTTACGTAGAAACTTGAAGCCATGAAACCCTTTTATGGCATAAACAGACCAATCTAAAAACATGAGTTTGATTCCAGATAGTATGTTAGAAGCTCTAGCTGGTGGCCTGTACTTTTCGCACTGAGTGGAGACAGTACTGTAAAGAATAAAATTCAATGCACTGGCGGGTGCGGAAGCTAGGTTCTCATTCCAGCTCTGCTGCAAACTTGCTGTATGACCTTGGGCAAGTTACTTCACAGAATCGTGAGTTTGGAAGAAGCCCTACAGGTCATCTAAACCAACTCTTCCCTGAAGCTGGAATCATCTACATTGAAAAGCATTTAGTGTTCATTTGACACAACTACCCCCACCTCTCCCAGCAGTGATAAAGAACTCACCACCAATGGGACAAGCAAGCCTCCGTGGGCCTTCTTCTTTCCATCGCCCTCATAAAGCAGCCCTCTAGGACCTGGTTTCCCCTCCTCTATCAAACAAGGGAGTTAGGCTAGATGGCTCTATACTTCTCCCTCAGATCTACCATTCTATGAATCTATGATCTGAAGTAAGCAGTGGAGATGAAAAGGGCCAGATTTGATTCAGAGAAATAAGTAGTTCAAACAACACCACTCCCTGGCATGACTTACTTGGGTGAGAACTTTAATCCCTATAGATACAGGTGACTGACCAGATTTTTCCCTTCTATCATGAAATCAACTTTTGTCCTTTTATAAAAACACATTAGAAAGAATAGCTCTATGTGTGGATTTCAAAAATGGTTCCAAAAAAGAAACATAATTGAACTGATAATCAAGTATTTCACATAAAAATGATCTTACCCTCAGTCTTTAAACAAAATGAGGAAAGGAGATTGAGAAGATGGAGGGAAAAGGGTCAGTCCTTCTGAAGCAATGGAGGGGGAAAAGGAGGAGCAACCTGGCTAACTAGTTCACAAAAGGAAAATTGGTTAGATATTACAATTGGCATCAGTGAAAGCAATATTAAAAAGACAAGATCATAGGACCATGCTACAAAAATAGTGTTTACTGACAATAAATTTACATCTTTTTCATCTTCATGATTAAACAAGCGCTTATCCGACAGCTTGGAAGGCACCAAAGGTGAAGTAGTTACTTTATATTTGTTTAAAAAAAAAACATGAAAAGACAGAACAGTTATCAAATCTTCAAATCAAAACACAATGAGTAATAAATAGCTTATTATTTTTGTCATGGGTTCCTGAACCCTGATAAACCTCAACATATACAAATAGTTTCACTTCCTACCACTTTAATCAGAGGAAAAACTGGGCCCAAATGGACATAATCTAGATGATAACACACCTGATTCCCTCCATGGTGTACAAAGAAATTTGTTTTCAACAGAGGGGAGAATTTGAAAATGCATTTCAAAACAGGTCGCAGTATGAAAGAGAGTGAAACAAATGTCTCTTTGGAACTAGATGAAGCTTACAAAGCAACAGTGGTGAGAAGCCATATTCACAGGGTTTCTATTTGGCCACACTCAAGTTGGATTGGGACCCAGATTGGGGGAGGCTGCTACAACCATCCTCCTTCCCCCTATAAAGCATGGCTACCACCACTGGCTTTGGATTGACCAGTTCACAATTTTAAGCACTGATCATCTGCTGTTGTCACATGCGCAGAAAGGAATGAAGTCACTTTTGGAACACATTTATGCAAAGGTAAGGGAGGCAAAATCTAGACAGAAACACAAAGAAAGCAGACATAGAGAACTGGTTCTTTACAGAGACACTAGGATTAAAGTACCTCTTCTTTCCCCTCATCTAAGCTTCTCACTTTCCAAAACAGAATTAGAGTACCATGTCTGTGGGTTTGCTTAAGATATGAGGGCCACTGTCTATGAAGATCTTCAATTACTAAGACCTATTTCCCCATGCCTAAACCAATGAGATTTTGCTATTTCTAGATTAAGAAAATCCCATGCCCTTCTCCCTATCTCCAAAAACATAAAATCTATGTTCATTTATCCTCTCACATTTTGAGTGAGGTTATCAGGAGAAACTTTGGGAACCTGCCCTAATTCCAAAATACACATACATAAACTGCTATTAAAAATGAGACCCTCTAGCTTTAGACAAATTCTTAATAAAAAGGATTTTTAACATTTCTAATAGCCCATTGTTTTCTTTCAGCAGAATCTAGAAAATAGGATGATTATACCTATATTCCAAGACTCCCCGACCTTTGTCTATAACTCCCAGCCAATTTATACATGATACGAACACAGGGAATATTGCGCTAGCAAATGATATGAACATAAGGTATATTTCCCATCAAAGAAGTGTAAACAATAACCAAAATAATATTATAAAATCCATACAGTACCCAAACTTATATAAGTTAAATTTTACTATAGACAGCTACCCACTGGTTCAGAAATTGTATCCAAATTGGGGGGGGGGGGAGAAGCACTCTCCAGTCAAAAAAAAAAAAGAGGAAAATAAAGCTAGTCATGAGAAGAATTAAACAGAGTATACTGCAATCCTCCTAAATCATTGAAGTAAATTAAATTTGTCATCTAAACTCCCAGATTTAAAATAGGAGCACAGTGCTCATAGCTGTTACAAATTATCTTATTCAGTATATTTGGACAACTAAGTACTGTGACTATTTCTAAGGCAGTTTCTAAGAAATGTAAATATCTTAGTCCCTTTGGTCACATTCTCTCAGTGAGGCAGTTTTTATCATTCCAACAATTTGAACCTTACTGAGAAGTTGTATACAAGGTTAAAGGAATTCAGTCTTAGGTGTGGCCCTTAAAGCATTCAAAAAAGGCACAGGAAGTCAATCCTGATGATACCCTTCTAAGATGTGTGGGTACCTAATCAGGTCATGGCTGTAGTCTGTCAATAACTGTCTAGTATAGGACTATCCCACTTAATGTCGATCGGTTCTGAGAAAGCATACTGTTTGAGCAGAATGATGTTATGGGGAGCAGTAACTCCATAGGAACATTTCCAATGGCAGGCTGGCCAAGGCCATTCAGTCACAGTAGAGTTTCCTGACACCGCAATGGCATTTGGTAGCAATATTTCACCTGGGTTCCTTTTACTGACACAAAACCCTGGCTCAGGCAGTGTAGCGCTAGGTGTGTCTATACTGGGCCCTGTTGTTACAGCTTACCTGGAACCTGATCCTACAGCCAAGGTTATAATAAGTAAAAACTCAAGGCAATTGTTTCATATTTGTCTCCCTGCTCTAGCTTCCAAGAGCACCCATGTAGACTGCTTACATCTAAAAGGACATTACTTGAAGTGGAGGCAGCAAGCTGGAGTAGTGAGAAAGCTGGTCTCGAGTACTGGATCCAATAGTCAATAGAAAGCTAGAACATTTATTAAGCACTTAGGATGTGCCAGGCACTGTGACCTCAAGCAAGGCACTTCACTTCTCTCTCAGTCTCAGTTTCCTCGTCATATAAAATGGGGATATTAATTTATCTCTCCTACTCGAGCTGGAAGGGCCCTTTGAGCCCATCTAATCCTACTCCCTCATTTTACAGATGAAAAAACTTGGGTTCACAGAAGGGAAGTAATTTGCCCAAAGTGAGAGAAAGTAAGGGGCAAGGTCAGAGCATGAACCTAGCTCATCCGATTCTAAATCCTCTGCTTCATGTATTTGTGGCATAGAAATATGAGTTACTAATATTGAGTAGGTAGAGACATATATTCTCAAAGACCTTTTGTAACTAATAAAGGGAAATGAGACTTTCAAACAGCAGAAAGTCACATTAAGATGTCCAGGTCCTAGCACCGAACAAGTGCTACCAACAAATAGACCAAAAGGACTACCAAGAGTCCTGAAGGAATTCCACTTAGTCCTGCTCCTGAGTACTGATTACCAATCAACCCCTGTCACTGGCTACCTCTTCTACCTACTGAGCTGGCCTGGTGCATGTCATTTTCTTTCTTTTAGACGATCCTGCTGCAGCAGCTGCCACAACTCAACAGTTTAATTTCAAGAGAAGGAGAAATGCAAAATGACGTTGCCAGGTGGAAAGTTATCAAAATAGGGCCAAAGTTACACACATTTTCTATTCTGCTGCTGAGACAAATCATAGAGCTAATAATGGAAACTCTGCCTCAACTTGGGATGAGCAACTTTGATCTACCCTCCTAGAAAATATGGAGATCTAAAGATCCTTCTTCAACAAAACTACAGCTTTAGACTCTACTGTACCAGAGTATATAGAAATCCTATTCATGCAAGACTTAGCAGTTATTCAAAGCTCAAAAAAACAATTAAAAAAAAAAAAGAACTAAACAGTTCCCTTCTTTACAGCTGATTCATTGCAAATGAGACTTCACATATTTGTGCAGACAAAACACTTCATGCTTCATCTCCACAGAGACCATCTGTGGTTCAACCTAAGTCTGAATCACACAGGAAGACAGAATGAAACCCCAGTCTCCAAGACCATGAAACAGATCCTAAATGAACCAAGAAAAGTCATACTCAAAGCATCCTATGGAGAGTCTAACACAGAGAGGCAAACAGGCATCAGTTTAGGGAAGGAAAAACATCACTAGGAAGAGAGACAACAGAAGTGGCCAAGGAAGGACGGGCATTAGCAAGGGTCAGATTGTCGGTCTCTTCTAGAATTCTTCTAGGTCAATCAGATCTAAACTGAACAAATCCATAGTGAAGTGGATGTTTGGGTGTGGGAACCTCATGTCTTCCCAAGAAGAGAGTTCCCAAGAACAGAGATCTTTTGGGTGCAGATGCGCCATCAACCAATACAGACGGCAACCTATCCCACAGCTCAGTCTGTGCACAGTTCTTTCAGACAGCAGAGGCTTTCCTGTTGCAGTTTAAAAAAAATTTTTTTTTCATTTAACTTTGTCTTTTCCTATCTTTATCTGGAGCCAGGAACAGTCCAATATGTTTGTGAGACTATGATGTCTCCAGACCAAAAAGAGAAGGGCCATTCTTCTCATCTTGCAACAGTCTAAAGAAATACCAAGAGGAAAAGTTAGGCACGCTTGAACAATGTTGATTTAGAGAGGGGAAAGAACCTGAAGAATATATCATTCAGGTGAGGCAAAAGTGTCTCTTCCATTTTTGCCATGAAAATAAAAGCACTTTTATGAATGACATCTCCAATGCCCAAACCACAGTTTTACCACTTCTCAAACCATGAGAAGTCCTACATACAGAACGCCAGTATGCTGCTTAATCTGCAGCAACCGACAAGTTATTAAAGAAACAGCAGGCTATTAAAATTCAGCTTATGTTCTGATGCCACACTGGCCACCTTAAGAGACAGAAAAGCATGACCAAAGTTCCCTTCAAATGTTTAACACCTGAAACTACAACAAAAATATGTTCAGTCTATGATTTATGGGAAATAATACATTTAAGTAGGTATCATTATTAAAATTATGATTTATTCAGAAACTGGAATTTAACCAACAAAATAATTCATTTTCAGTTTCAAATTTACGCATGGCCTTCACTGTCTGTTTACAAGAATTATAACGGAAGAAACACTAGTGTGTTACCTTCACCCCAGACTAGACCTACTTTATTGACCACATGTTCCATATTTAAATTATGTGATTATATATTATGCCATGTTTAAAATGTATTTTATTTTCTTTCTGTTCACTAGCCAATTACAAGGAGATACACACACAAAACCATGTTGTTCTTTCCATGGCAAAAAGGATTTAGAAATAATTGTAAGAAAATAAATACTTCTAAAAATTCTGTCACTGGTATACATTTATATACGTAATAATTTCTAACTCTGTGACCTATCAAAAGATTAAGATTTTCCATGGACTGTTCATGTTTGTAATGTATCTACACTCTATTTGCAATTTACTTCACTCACAATCAACTCTCTCTCTTCCTCAAATATAATAAGAAAGGGGCATTAGCGCAATCATCTTGTTTTTCCTAATGGTAAACTCTATATTTTCAGATCACTTGAGAAAATTCTAGTAATCATTCTGTCTGGCCGTCTCTATATTTGATTTCAAAATACATACTTGGTAGAAGAAACTTGAAAATAAACCATAATTAATGAAAAGCAACAGGTTGGAATGGTCCTTCTTTTAAATGAATTCTAAGCTAAGTAATGGATAAGAGGCATGTTTCTGTTCTTTTAAAAGTTTAAAACAAAACAACCCAATAGAGCACTTAAGCACATGGGAGTACAATCACTAGTTGCATTCTATGCATGTTTGCAGTGAAAGTGAAAGCAATCTGTGGAACAGAAGAGTGGAGATACCAAGGGTTCTTTCAGGTGTGGAAGACGACACAATTCTCCCCAAGGTTAGATGCAATAATTTGGAGATATTGTATGTGCCACCTAAGCACAGAATGCACAATAAATGCTTACTTAATAATGGAACATCACAACTGAAGTTAAAATGGCATATGAGGCTCTGAAAGTTAACATTAAGTTCACATACTTTTAAATACAGGAAAACTAGACTTGGTATTTCATATGCCCAAAATGGGTACTGTTATCAATCTCACACAATAAAGTCATACTAAGTAAAATATGCAGTGAATGAAATGCATTTAAATCATGCAGGTACACAGGTGAGTGTGCAGCCATACATCTGCTAACACATAGTACACAGTCGAAGCTGTGCACTAAATCTTTCAGTAAATGAATGCTAGAGATACCCACATTTGAGTGAAAAATTCAGATTCTCTGACCAGCAGTAAATGTTCTTTTCCTTGGCAAATACCAAATGTCAAGCTAGAGGGAGATTTATACACATTTAAATCAGTCTAAACTATGACAATCCAGTAAACTAAATGGTGTTTTCCCCCCACTCCACAGATATAATCTTCAAGAGAAGACCTAATACATTGCGCATCAACTTCTCTCTATAAATTCCAGAATCTAAACAACAAAGAAAACTTAAATAGAACTTTCTGACAGTATGGTATGACAGTAACTTCTCTTCATAACAAAGAATCTGAGGCCTGTGATAAACTAGAGTGACTTTCAAATCAAAGAAAGAATATCCTTTTGGGCAAAGAATGCATCTTTCTATCTCCCCAAGTGCAAAGCACAGTGCAGTAAAATTAATAAATATTTGATGAATGAAAGAGTGAATATATTATGGTTAATATAGTCTTAGTGACTCATCTTACCATACTTAATTCTTTGGGAATTGACAATCTATGTACAGTAAACTCCTACTAAGTCCTAGTATAATGATTACTCCTCGTGGTGTGGAGGCAAACCTGGGCTCTTCAAATCTAAGCAAGCAGAGACCAATTTGGCAGGTTCTACAGCAAATCAAAATCTTTTTGATTCTGACTGTCAGGCTCAGAGTCAGGCTGTACATCTGCTGTCTGAGAATCAGTCCAATGAAGCAGACAGAGAAAGACTCATCACCAGAAGGAAGACCACAAGGAAATGAATTTTTTTCAGCCACAAAAACTCATGAAGACTTAGGTCAAGGCATAGGACGGGTTGCAATTTGCAATCAATGGAGGCAGGACCCACACAGATGCAAAATCATGGATCCCTGCAGTGTTGAAAAGGCATGGTATATTAGAGAAATCCCCATTTAAATTTGAGCATTAAATTAACTGTGATACCCTCAAGTCTTTCTGGATGAATGGAAGCTTTTCTTCAACCAGATTTGGTCGATCAGTCATGCATAATACTTGTGATCAAAAGAAAATATACTTTATCATATGTAGAAGTTTGTTCCAGTACCACCATATACTCCTATAACCTGAAAGACCTTTTTGGGAATAACACACAGGCAAAGAACTGATTCTGGTATGGTGTAGAGATTGACATATATGTACGTAGTGTGTGTGTGTATACACATACAAAGAAATCCCAAACATCCCACCTCTGGTCCCTACTAGGACATAGTGGTGATGGCTATGGGACTGCATTATGAATTTGGCCAGGGGAACTGTATTATGAATTCATATAAAAATTCTCCGAATTCACCTCACAGAATTCAGGGCTAGGTAGGAATGTAGGAACTGTGTACCCCACTCAGACTCAAGATAGTTGTTTATGGGAAATGGCACAGTAACTTTCTGTCATGGCCAGAAATAAAACGTAGCCCTCCCAATACAGACGTCATTGTCTTAACTGCTAGGTGCTTTTTATCCCCATGATGTTGCCAGTGTTCATATCTGTAAGGTCCAAAGCCAACAGACTCTGGCTGACTTCTGTCCATGCTACCAAAGTTTTCAGTTCCATAATTTGCTTCACAATTTGTCTCAGCTATCCACAGGCCACAAAAATAAAGGACAAGAATTGAGGGCTTATTTTGGGAGTCAAACATTGGCATGGGCTGTGATCAACTACAATAGCTCTTGGTCCATAGTGGGCACCCCATGAAGACTGTTAACTGACCTAAACTGGTGTCATTCACCCCTTATTTTCTACGTAATCACATTTAACCTAAACTTGAGTTACATTTTTCACCTGCCCTCAAACTCCTGACCTTGTCATGAAGATATATCTGACTGAATGCTAGTTCATAATGGAACCACATGCAGCCTTTACACAGAATTAGGGTTAAAAGTGGAAAAAACAGCCACCACAATACTGTGGCCCCTCCAGACTACTTCCATCTGAACAGAGAGCTATTTAGATCTCTGGGTTTGCAGATGGGACATCTGATGGAGTAAGCGAAGCTCCTTCATGATGTTGCTGTGAATGCTCTTTGCCAACGCCAGCTGTTTTGTTAAGAAGGATAAAATGAAAAGTTGTATGAAAGTTTGATATGATGAAATAATAAGAAATGATGGTGGGAGCTTGGGGAGGAAATCAGGACAGGGAGGAGAGAGGAGAAAGTTTTCTTTGTTGGTGACTTCTCTCTCCACCTCAGTCCTCCTCAGATGCTCCTTCTCATGTATCTAAACGCTGTATCTCAGGACGGCTATCCACTTCTCGTGATTCTGTCCGTGCACGAATGTATTCGTTGGTGCTCTGCTGTCGAATGTTCATTCTCCATTTCTGCACAGCTAAGAAGGTATTTGCAGCATACGCTGCTGTCGCCAAGAAGCCAAAAACCTAAAAGAAACACCTACCATAAGTTCTCCAGAGCATGTCAACTGGACATGAACAAGTCATGAAGTGCAAGGCACTATACAAATGAATTTTGTGCAGGCTCTCCTAATGACCCAGCTCAACAATGCACGCTGTTACCTGTCAATATGCTCACTGTCAATTACATCATTGCTTTTAGAAATCTCAGAGCAAAAGGAAGTTGCAGATTTGATTAGATTGTGAATGGACTGTCTTCTGCCCCTTTTGGTATCCCCAGTACTTTGCACAGTGACTGTACATAGGATGCTTAATAAATGTGAGCTATTATTATGGTAAGTAGTTGGGACACAATGACAGAAACAAAATGGTCCCATATATAGGAACTTGGGGTCTATTTTTTACTTTGGTCCAAATCTATGATTTCATTGGTGTAGGGAAATCCTGGTGGGGAAACTCCATCTGCCAATGCAGGTAGTCCTACAACTTATTGTCTCAAAGAGTTTCCTGGGGCACTGAGAGGTATAATGATTCACCTTGGATCACAGAGCTAGTAACGTGCTAGAAGTGGTCCTTGAACCCAGATCTTTCTGGCTCTGAGAATCCACTAGACATCATTCTTAAAGTCTACAAGATATTTTATTTATATCAGATCAAATGCCACATAAAGATTTCTTTCTATAGTATCTTTCAAAGAAAAGGATAAAAGAGATATCTGTTTCAGTATTAACACAGCACCGTAAGTCATGAAAGCATTATGGGGTTCTAGCCCTGATTCTGCCACTCAATAGCTCCATCACCTCTCTTTGGGCCCAAATTTTCTCATTTTAAAATGACTCAGTTATTCTAGAGAGAGAATTTCTAATGTTCCTTCCACCTCTGTTCTGAAATTCTGAGGTCTCTTCAACATTTTATGTTGTAATAGCTCTTCTAGCTTTAATATTCTATGACTCCAAGATTCTAATGTGAACTTTATGGGCAAAAATCATAATTAAAATATGCAACAACCATGATACAATGGAAAATCTTTAGATTCAATGCCTTTAATTACTAACCTAGACCTTCTTTGTTTTTCTGCAGTTTCCATAATGTATGGAAGATGGACAAGACCCATCCCACACAGCAGAGGAAAGACTTCTGGATTTTAAATCAGAAGCCTTGAAGCACTGACCCAGCATCATTACTCATCATTCAGGAAACTTTGGGAAAATTGTTAACATTCCTGGTTGTCAGGTTCTTCATCAATAAATGAAGATAGCAATACCTATACTACTTATGCCACAGGTGGTTGTGAAAACATTGCATAAAAGCAAACTGTTATTACAAAGTTCACACAAAGATTCCATTAAGATATAGCTAAGCCCTTAAGGTATCCAACTCTCACCAATTCATATTGAATTTCTGGACTTTTCCCTAATGTTGCTGATCAAGTCCTGGTCTTTCTCTCTTTCTGCTTGACTGACGATATCCTGGAAGGAAGGGGAGCAAACTTGAGCCTTAGAGCTAAGGACCAGCATGTACTTCATTAAGATGGAGCTGAGACCATAGTAACTCACTTGCTTAACTGCAGTTGAAATTAAAGAATGTGAAGTATGGGGGGGTGGGGAGGTATAAAAATACATTTTTTGACTTGTTCAGCTGTTTCAGTCATGTCCAACTTTTCATGACCCAATTTGGCATTTTCTTGGCAAAGATACTGGAGTGGTTTGTCATTTCCTTCTCTAGCTCATTTTATTGATGAGGATTAAGTGACTTGACCAGGGTCACACAGCTAGTAAATGTCTGAGACCAAATCTGAACTCAGAAAGATGAGTCTTCGGGACTCTAGGCCCAATGCTTTATCCACCGTGCTACCTAGCTACCCCAATATTAATGTATGTGTGTATATATAATATATATTTCATTCTTTGTGAAACGTGTGAATATGTATATTTCACATTCACATATATGTTGCATTCTTTCATTCCAACTGCAGTCAGGCAAGTGAGTATATATCTATATCTATCTATACACACACAAAATTCTGGAGGTGGGGAGACTGAGTCTGTACCCCTATAACTGGAATCTATTCAGGGGAAGGTAACATAACAGATCTAGCTAGCGATTCTAGGTAATTGATTTTCAGTTATAAACTTGTGCTTGTTACAATGTTTACAAGTCTCTAAAAACCTTTCCTTCTGGAGCTTTGAATTTGGAAACTGTACTTGTACTCCATGATTCTCTACCAGACCCCAAAACTCATCAGGAAGGGAAAACTCTGTCCCCCTCTTGAATTCTTATTCATCCATTTTTAAAAGCATTTTTTAAAAAGCCCAACTCAAAAGCTAGCTCCTTTATAAATATCTCCCCTCATTAGTAATAATCAACAAGCCTGTGAGATCTCACGTGGCATTCACATAGCATCTCTCATGCAATATTAGGCAGCAAAGCTTTCCATGCATGTATCTTACTAGAATGTAAATTTCCTGAAGACTAGAATTTTGTGATATTCAAACTTTATATCTCCCCTAGTACATAACTCAGGACTCTGAATACAGTAGATATGAAATAAATGCTGGTGGTAGCTGTTCCTCAAAACCAACTGAGTTCTCTACAGTTCAAATGACAGTATAATTTTTTTTTAATTGGTTATAGGAAAATTAGAACAAAATACCATGGGGTGGGGATGTAAATTAGGATGAGTCATTCTGTTTTAAATATTTGATTTTCTTACCACAGCAGCAATTTCTGCTCCAGCTTTATGGTTCAAAGCAGCAAGTACTATAGAGGCAATAAAGAAGAAGAAGGTGCTGAGTCCAGTGTTGACCAAATCCTAAAAGGGGGAAAAGTGATGGAATTACTTTAAAAGGATCATGCTAGTTTTTGCTCTTAAAGTAAATAGAAAACATTCAAAATAAGAACCACAATATCTCATTTTTTGGATTACATATTTTGTATGTAACAGAGGCAAGGGTCAGCACAGATGAAATCAGACACCCACAAGCTAAGGATGCCACTAAAGTGAATTGGGTAAGATCATCACAGCACAGTGTGAATACATTTCACCAGTTCACTAAATGATACTGGAATTATCAAATGGTTTCTCTTTCAGAAACAGCAACTGACAACTAACCTGTCAGTGGCATACCAACCAACTGCTCTTAATAAAGTTCTGTTATAAAACTCAAACACTTGACCCAATCAGTATGGCCTGGACCCAACTACAGCATTGTTCACAGAAAGCCCAGTGCCCACACTCTCAACATAAGTATAGAATTTGTAGGAGCAAAGGTGGAGTACCTGCAAAAGCCTAGAAGCCCTCCCCCTATTCATTCCCCATAATCAAAGCTAACTTGGTTTTAATATAAAACACACACAAAAATATCTAAATTGGCAAAGCTTTCATTTAATGTGAGGTCTTTCAAACCTTAACATCAATAAATATAGATTTTCTTTTATGATTCTTGAATACCAGATCAGTCCATGGACCTAGCATTCAGGATATTTAACAAGTGTCTCACTTACGGCACCTAAGTCCTAACTTTGCTGTTGTTATCATTGGTGGTGGTGGTTAGGTCATTTCAGTCATGTCCAGCTCTTCATGACCCTACTCGGGGTTTTCTTGGCAGAGATACTGGAGTGGTTTGCCATTTCCTCCTCCAATTCATTTTACAGATGAAGAAACTGAGGCGTACACTACTCAAACTCATATAAGTTAAATTTTATTATAGACAGCTACCTACTGGTTCAGAAATTGTATTCAAATTGGGGAGGAGGGAGGAAGGAGGAAGCATTCTCCAGTCCAAAAAAAGGAAAATAAAGCTAGTAATGAGAAGAATTAAACAGAGTATACTTCTTTACTATCCAATCCTGCTAAAGCATTCAAGCAAATTAAATTTGTCATTTAAATTCCCAGATTTAAAACAGGAGCACCGTGCTCATAGCCTTTACAAATTACATCATTCAAATGCAAGGATATCATGGGAATCAATGGGAAAAAAATGTGAAAGAAGTATCTCTGATAAAGGCTTCATCTTTCAAATATATAGAGAACTGAGTTAAATTTATAAAAATAGAAGTCATTCCCCAGCTGATAAATGATCAAAGGATATGAACAGGCAGTTTTCAGACAAAGGAATCAATCACTATTGATTAGAGAAATGCAAATTAAAACAACTCTGAGGTACCATATCGCACCTATCAGACTGGCTGATGGGACCAAAAACGAAAATGTTAGATGTTGGAAGGGATGTAGGAAAACTGGGACATTAATGCACTGTTGGTGGAGATGTGAACTGATCCAACCATTTTGGAAAGCAATTTGGAACTGTGCCCAAAGGGCTACAAAATTATGTATACTCTTTGATCCAGCAATACCACTACTAGGTCTATATCCCAAAGACAATTAAAAAAAAGGGAAAAGGACCTACATGTACAAAAATATTTATAGCAGCTTTTTTTTTTTGTGGTAGCTAAGAATTTGAAATTGAAGGGATGCCCATCAATTGGGGAATGGCTAAACAATCTATGGTATATGATTGTAACAGAATATTATTGTGGTATAAGAAATGACAAGCAGGATGATTTCAGAAACAGCTGGAAAGACTGACATGAACTAATACATAGTGAAGTAAAGTGAACAGAACCAGGGGAATGTTGTACACGGTAATACTGTTCGATGAAGAACTGTGAATGACTTAGCTATATTCTCAGCAATACAACAATCCAAGACAATCCCAAAAGACTAATGATAAAATATACTATCTGCCTCCAGAGAAAGAAACTATATTGTTTGAATTCAGACTGAAGCGTTTTATTTATTTTTCACTTTCTTTCATTTCTTTCTTTTATTCAAGTCTTCTCGTACAAAATGACAAATACGGAAATGTTTTACATAATTGCACATGTATAACCTGATGGGCATTATTAAGGATGTGCCAGGCACTGTGCTAAGCACTGCTAAGGATACAAAAAAAGGTACAAGCCAGTCCCTGCTTTCAAGGAGCTCACAGTCTGATGGAGGAGACATGCAAACATGCTACGTACAGGATAAATGGGAAATAATCAGCCAAGGGAAGGCTGCATTGAGAAAGGCCTCCCGCAGAAGGCAGGATTTAGTGGAGAACTGAATGAAGTGCTACCAGCAGGCAAAGATGAGAAGGGAGAGCATTCCAAGCGGAGCCAGTGAAAATGCCCCCTTTATCCCAGTGTCACTGGAAGACAGAGTACCATGGCGGTTTGAAGTGGTTAAGGTATAAGAAGAATGGAAAGGTGAGAGGAGGACAAGCTATGAATTCAGGGCTTCAAACACTGAAGAGATGATTTTGTATTTGCCCCTGGAGGTGACAGGGAGCCACTGAAGTCTACTGAGTTAGGGAGTGTGACACAGTCACTGTGCTTTAAGATTCCTTTGACAGCTGAGTGAAGGATGAAATGGAGTGGAAAGAGGCTTGTGGCAAGATCAAGCAGCAAGTTGCTGCCGCAGTCCAGGTACGATGCAATGAGAGCTCACACCAGACTGATAATAGTATCAGAGAAGAGAAGGGGGTATTTGGGAAAAGGGACCTAAGACAAGAAGACAGTATAGATTTGACCTGGTTCACCAAGGAGTCAAGATGAGGAAGATAAAAGAGTGTAGCTCATGTAGTGACTGGAGGGCAGTGTAGGCGAAAAAAAGAATTTGGGGTTACAAGGTAGAAAAGGTGGGACAGTAAGAGATTGTAATTAACTAAAAGAATTTCATAGTTCATGAATATATAAGTACATTTTTTGATGACAGCATGATTGAGGGTATCTTTGTATTTGGCTGAGGTGGGATGGAGTAGGATACGAGAAATGATTAAACTGAGGAATTGGGAAATCAGGGTGTTTAAGAGAGAATCAATTACATATCTTGAAATCCTCTAGTATGAAGGCAGGAGGTGAGGACAACAAAACAGTGAGCCAGGCACTGAACTCACTGAAAAAAGAAGGGGAGTGGCCTGGAGGTGTGGAGACAACAGCTGCCATGATTTTGATTGAATGGTACATATGAACTGCATGCAACTCAAAGGAAGAGAGTGATGGCAATAGAGGGTGAAGCTGAATGAAAGTAGAAAACGGGAGCAAGGAGTATTCCAGCTCCCCACCTCAACCAACTAGTCAGGGAGAACAAGTGAATATGGAAAGAGAGGCTTTGAACCCTGAGGGGAGCCAGGTCTCAATGGGAGTAGGAAGATGAAAGGAGTAGAAAAGGAAAAGATTTAAGATGAAAGTAAGTTTGTTACCTATGGAACAGGAATTCCAGAGAGCACAGAGGAAGGAGTGGACAGCCTCAGGCTCGGACACTGGGGGTTTGGGGGTAGGGTAGAACATGTGGTAGGACGGGCAATCCATGAGCTGGTCCATTAGAGAGAAGACAGAATACATGGTGTGCTTCTGCACCGCAGACTGACAGTAAACTAGGCTCAGAATAAAACAAGGGAAGAGGAGGACTGTGTTTGGGGAAACCGCACAATTCTCTCAGTGATCTTAAGACACTCCCTCACACAAAAACCCATGTTTCAACACTAATATTTTTCTGGTGATGCTGTTGAATTACAAAATTATTATTAGCAGCATTTCTGAAATACTTGACCTACAACAACCCAATGAGGTCCATAGGGCATTATTCTCATTTTAAAATTGAGAAAACTGAGGCTCAAAGAGTTTGTGTTTTTCCAAGGTCACATGTATAGAAGCAATAAGAACTGACATTAATATACTGCTTTAAGGTTTTCAAAGCACTTTATAGACATTATCTCATTTGGCCCTTACAACAACCCTGTAAGGAAGACATTATAGAGATTATTCCTACTTTGTAGATAAAGAAATTCAAAGGTAAAATTACTGCCCATAGCCACAAAACTAATAAAAAAAGGTAGACTCTGACTCACGATTTCCATCTCCAAGTCCTTGATCTTTCCACTACACCATTTCCAGTTATCAAGAACTGATCATGCACAAGGCATCACATAAAGACCTGGACATGCAAGAAGAAACAACAAGCCGCAGAGCTCCCATTTATGCCAGGTTCTCAGCCTTCGTGGTGGAAGGGCTGAAAAGCAAGCTGTAGGCCCACCTAGCCAGGTACCTAGTGGAGATTTCTGGTTCTCAAAGTCACCATGTCTACAACAAAACTTGTTACCTCCCCCTTCCTAAATTCTGTACTTTGAAAAGTACCACCATCCTTCCAACCAGCTGAGTTCCCAGCTTCCGTCGTCTTTCTCTGCTCTTCACTCTTTCAAGACGTATGTGAAAGTTCATTACCCTGTGTTTTTAGGCATAAGCCTACACAATTTTTTATTAATATAGATTTTTCTAATTAAATTAGAAAATTAGCGTTTCTCTTTTCAGAATGATAAAAAAGCGGAATCTCCTCATGCCTTTGGGAATCTCTCTAACACAAACCACTTAGTATTACGGCATCCCAGAAAACATTCTACAGCCAAGAAAGAGCAAAGGTTCAAGTTCAAACCAAACAATCATTAAACTTTCAGCATGGCTTGGAAATTTATATCCCTAAAACCACTGACCACTCCCCCTCTGTGGAGTCTCTTTTCTAGATGGTCAGAGATGAACTCAAGAGATTATTCCACTAACTGAAGCAATCAAAGACCTCTTCCCTTCTCTTAGGCAAATCATGACCTTAATCTGGTTGAGGCCTGGGAAAGAGGTCCTGCTCTAGGCAGACCTGCCCAGTCACAGGTCACTGCCTTAATTCTATCAAAAGAGAGAACAGAGCACCAACCTCAGCTGTTTACCAGTTTTCTCAAAGAAAGTGATTACACAGCAGGGGTGGGGAACAGGGCCACA